ACACCTCATAAAAAAATAGAAAACTGGGTAGGGCAGAGATAAGACAAGTCAAGGCTGAGAGCTGCATTCAGGGCAGGTTACTATTGGACAAGCTGGCACAGATATAATAGGAGAGGATACAGGAAAAGACATAAAACCTACCAAATAAACTCATATACCGGTGAGAGAGCAGCAGGACTACTGTGGAGCTACTGGTACTAAGTCCGTCTGTTAAGCAACGGGTGGCTATAACAAATAAAATGAAACCACGTGGGTGGGCACAGCTTTTCAGCTACGTGCTCCCAGCCACGCAAGCCCTGTTTTGTCTACCTACTTTGTCTGTTACAGTATTATGCCTGTACCATTCTGCTTTTCACTGTTGTCCCACCAACTGTCAGGAGTATCTGAGTTTATCTAAACTCTTACAAACTGTCTATAGTAAAATACCAGGAAGACTCTTCAATTAGGTGAACTACTTTTTCCCCTGAAGATTTTCTACAATGCATTTCTTTGTATTGTATTCTAATACCAAGGTAATGGTAGCTCTAAACCTCTTAATTTGGATCCATTTGTTCACTCTGCACAGACAAGACTACATGTCCCAATATGTAGGAAACTGAATCATTAAGTTTAGAGACACTATCATTGGCTTGATTTCAAACAACGGTGATGGATCATACAGGGAGGAAGCCAAGGACCATGCACAGTGGTGTGCCCATGCACAAAAGAAACTTAATGCAAAATAAACACACAATTCATTGTAGCTGAAAATCCCAAGGAGTCTATGAAATGTGCTTGCACATTCCCATTTTGTACTCATTTGTAGTTTTTTTTGTTGTTGAAAATATCAGGCTTGAATATCAATCAGACCTGCTTTTCTAAAATGGATTAATGGGTAATTTTAAGTGCAACTTCTCATATGTTTATAGTAACACGGATAACTATATTAATTACACAGTGCTCCTGAAGCTCACCTCCTCCATTCTTGTAGCAGAGATAAGGGAACCGCCACACATTGCCCAAGCCAACAGCAAAACCCACGCAGGACATGATGAAGTCCATCTGTCTGGTCCAGGTTTCTCTCTCCACCACTGGTACTGCTACAGCCCCATTTCCAGTCCCGGCTGCAGCCCCGTCCTGGGTCAGCGGTGGGCCAGCTCCTCCACCCTCACCACACCCTGGGCCCCCTCCAGGCACAGGCACCAGGGGGCGGGCTGACCCCCCTCCCTCCTCCTCAGACAGGGTCCCTGCCTCCAACTGGGGGAGACTGATTTCACCTGGACAGGAAAAGATGTACAAGGGCCAGATGAGATAGAAGAAGAGATTGCGAGAGGAAGTAAAGAGACAAGAAAAAGGACAAATGGAAGCAGATAAGACAGCAATAATCAGTATGTCTGAGCAACTAATAAAATATCTACACTCTTATCAGAGAGGACAGCAGACAATATTTTAACAACAGTCATATCTAAAATATTCACATTCACAACTTCACATCACACGTCAGCATTGGAGACTGATGAACACAGCCTCCTGGGCCAGACTTGCAATGAATGGAAGAGAGAGTGCGGTGCATATTCTGGTGAAACACGGAACACAAACAAAGAAATGAAAACATAGACACTGACTGACTGAAGATTAATAAAAAAAAGATTAATATTGCTCAATAAGGGGACAGTACAGCATCAGTACAACCTTTGCCAGTTTTTACAAACCTCCACTAAGCCATAACAGAGTGGAAATATATCTCACTGTATACATTCACTGGATTTTTGTGTGTAAAGTGTTCTAATACAATTATCATTTTGGGCAAAAACCATGTTGCTGTTGTACTGCCATCACTGAGCCCTCCTCCGACATTCATTCTCTCTGTCTCTGTCTCACAGACAGAGTGATTAGTGTGCTGCGGTACAGCATAGCAGAGAGCTGGGTCTAGGTATATCTCAAGCTCCTCTGTCACTTACACAGCTTTCTGCTGTGTCTATTTTGCCTACACACCACTGAATAAATGCACGCACATGCTCTAACACAAATAAACGCAATGTGTCACTTCATTATTGCCATTCCATGATATCAGTGTCAGCCGCTCAGTGCTGGATGCAAAGCAAAGCAGCTGAATCCAGATCAGAGCAGTTTGAGGGGGCGTGTGAACAGAGGAGGGGATCAGAGTGGGGAAGGTAAGGGATGTCAGCATCTATGGAGCAACTTAATGAGAAGGATACCTGTAAGTTCAAGATCATTTGTACGAGGGATAGTTACACACTGTATGTGATAATTTAATGTGTATCAAAATAGACCACTTGATAGGTTAAGACAATAAAGACAAAATCTATTGTTCTTGGACATGAATGGGGTCTATGTCAAGAATACAACTCCAATTACTCACATGTCAGAGGGAAACAGGCTGGAGTATGTATGAGTCATCTAATTTTGTAAGCAGGATAAACCATAGAAAGCTAAATGATGATGCTCTTATGACACTGACGTAAAAACCTGACAATGATTTATTAAAGGAATAAATACCTTCTATATTCGTCAGGAGTGACACGTGTTCGGCACCACATTTAGCTTCAAAATGACTTCTAAGCTCTGGTGTAAAGTGTGTATTTAGATATCCTTAGGCGTATTTATGATGTGATGAGAAATATAGACTGAGGCAGGTTAAGTGCAGCTGGTGTGGGGCTGCTGCTCTTCTCCCCGAAGAATAATTTCAAAGCAGTGAGTGAGGCACGGCTGCTCTAATTCATCAGCATGTGGTTATGTTTCAGCTAGTGGTTGAATCATATGGTAAATAATAAGCCATTATTAAGCAGTGGAGGTCATTCAGCATACTCACCTTGGCTGTTCTCTTCCAACTCAGGTGACATATTGTTGGGTAGCGGCAGAAAAATATTTTTTATTTTTATTTTTATTTTTTTAAAAAGCAAGCTGGCTGTTGGTTTAGCCAGAGGCTGCTGAAGTTTTATAAATGTGCCTGGCTAACAAGGCACCCGGCGGGCTCAGAGAGCAGCGAGACACAGAGACGTAGCCACAGTAACAGCTATGCAGTGCTCCAGTTGTCTGTTTGGTTTTCCGAGTTTGTTATTTCGCCTTCTTGAAATAAAAAAAATCGCAGTTTTTGTGATTATCACACGATGGAAACCCTCAGCTCAGCCAAGAGATGGAAATTTTCACAAAGCGCCGCGGTCAGTTCAGCCGTTGACAGAGGAGATTCAAAAGCAGTCGACGAAGCACTTGAAGGTAAGCCTGAAGAATCTCATGGATAACAGTTAAATGAAAATGATACTGCGCCTTAGGGTGAAGATATTTTTTTTCTTTAAACAGCCCAGTCAGAAGTCCATGAACCTGTACGTGATGCCGCGGTTCGACAGACGAAGAATGTGATCTGCTGCTCCACGGTCCGTTAGCTGTGACGGACGCTCCCCCCGCCTCCTCCCGCTGCCGGCTGACGTGATTGGCTGAGGCCGGCTCAGTGCGGTGCGCACAGCATCAGCAGCACCACTCAGTCAAAATGAGAGGAGTCACAACAAGGATGGGTTTATTTCACTTGCATACGTCCTTGACCTGAAATCACACAAATAACTGCAGATAAAAGCCCAAAGCGGCGTCTGATGGCGTTTTGCTCTGCTTATTTGGTCTATATTTCGAGGACTGTAGGAAGGGCTCTCAACTTGGGTTCTAGGACTAGTGCTTTCACAGGCATGGCTGGATTAAGCTCCTAGAGATCCCCAGGGCAAAAACATTTGCTCTTGTGCCCCTATTGACCCATACATGGCAGTTTCATTATTTCAACCAGCTGGAAATGATTACGTTGATCACTTAGCTGATTGACAGAAAGTTAACTGGTCTCAATTTTGATAAATGATTACTTGCAAAAATGACAAAGTTTGACTGGTGCAGTTTTTTTGTCAGTATTTACTCAACATATTTGTATTTTTGACTGCTGGTCAGACAAAACAAGAGTTTGGAGAATGATAACTTGAGTTGCAGGGAAAAAAGACTTCACTTTTCTCTGACATTTCATTGAGGAAACAATCAAGTTATTATTAAAGAAAAATAATTATCAGGCCTATTGATAATGAAAATAATTGTTGGTTGCAGCCTACAGTTCTCCCATGATGGAATCATACACCCTTGACACAAAAAAATTAATGCAATTTGATAAACCACAACTTCAAAAAAATTGAGCTCAACATAAATTCAAACAATTTAGGGCTTAAAACTAGATTTTGATACAGAATCCCCCCACATAACCATACTACAAGATGCCAGATGGAGGAGCTGTCATTGCTAACGTTTTACTTAAGTGGTGACAATCCCTAACAAATTAATTATTAAGTAATCCAGGGAGTTTTGGGGTCAACTTTGCTCACAGGGATGTAGCTTGGAACTGTGGTACGCATATAATTAAGGTCTTTGGACTTGTGTTTTGTACTTTTTACTCCACTACATTTATTTAACAGCTGTATTTAACTGATGCAACAGGAAAATGCTGGTAACATGTTTAATATATAGTAGCACGATGACAGGTGCCATTCACTTTTAATGCTTTTTACTTTGAGTACATTGTGTTGATTATTCTGTGTTTTACTTTAAAATACTTAAGTAACATTTTTACCTCAGGACTTTCACTTGTAATAGTGTTTTTTTCAAGTTTTGTTTCAAGTGTGTTTGCATTGGGTGTCCTTCACAGAAACAAGTGACTGAGGTTAAAGAGGCATGCTGGTTATAGTAAGTGTCCATCCAGAATGTGCAGGTGCCATCACCAATATTTCAGTTACACATATGCACTGGCATGTTGGTGGCTGATCCACGATGGAACCAGCACTGACAGGATGCTAGTACAGCAGTTGTAGATTATACCACAATTAGCACAATTTCTGAACTGACCCTGCTCCTTGCTCATAGCCCAGAGATTATGGTGCTATATTAGATATTGGGTGACATCTAGTGGGCATTGTCTATATCAGCAGGTATGTATAAATGAACCACTTACACCACCACTAGTAAAACATTGCTTTATACATTTCATAACACAGAACAAATACAGTGACAAATTCAGTGCAACATCAAGCTGTAATAAATATGTTTTCCTTTAATTTAAATCACCAAATGGTAGTAATAAATAACACTCAAATAAATACTCCCATACAATTAAATAATTTTGAGTTGTGAGGATAAGAAACACATAATTGGAATATCAAAGACCTAAGTTTGAATTACACCTGAAGGACTGGGCTCCCACAGCCAGTGTGACAAGCGATCTTTTCGTCCAGTTTAGAAGTCCTGCATTTGCAGTAGCCATTTAAATAACATTCAATGATCAAAGCTCATTAACTCAGGGAACAAAACCTGAAGAACAGAAAAGACATACATGACCTCATGAAAATATCTCCCAGGAACACATTCACAGATGAATATTGTGATATGGCTTCTAACAACAGGCTTTAATTCTATAACAATAAATAACAGTGACCCACAACAGGGGCCAATAGATGCCTAGTTAATCAAAATGGAAGGCAGGTAAGCAGGCTTATCTGTTACATATGACTGCAACTTCTCCAACTCACATCACAGTATCCGTAGGTATGTTATTCTGAATAACTTATATTTTTTAAGGCGCAATTTAATAAAGAATGGCATTCACTTCATATACATTTGTTACATTTGTATTATAAATTAATTGTGAGGAAACTAATGCATCTTCCCATCATAATTCTGTATTCTGTAAATCTATGTTGAACTCACCAAACCTTCCCAATAGGATTGACTTAAAGACAAAGTAAATGTGGAGCAGTGGCTTAAGAGATATAATGTAATGTAAGACAGTTACTGAAAGGAGAAAATATCTGGGATGCTATTTTGTGCAATGTTCATCTCAAATCTGACGTAGCGGAAAGGTCTGTCCGGCCTCACTGGCTTCATAGATGCAAGACTAACTCAGTTTAAAATGATGGTCGCTTTGTCATTTCATTAAAAAGGTCCAGCTATAAATCCTGGTGGAGGTCACTGTGTGAGAGAGGTTGGTAATGCTCCTCCATGGTTGACTTAGCTCGATGCCTCTGAGCGACTAGTCTCTGGTAGCGGGCCTGCATCTGATAGTCTGGGTCCACATTTACCCAGCTGTTGGCCACCCACTTCACCCCACGCCTGACTGGGCAGTCGCCGTGCAGGGAATACTCATCTAGCTCTCCCATCCAACCTAGGGAAGGCATGGGAGAACAGCATTTTTGAGGGAATAATGAGTGCAGTAGCTTCTGGAGAGAGGTGAACAAGATAAACAAATTCAGATAAAAGCCAACAACTCCCCATAAAATTTCAAAGATAACTTCAGATTAATCCTTAATGTTGTCGTTGCGCTAGTGAATGAGATACAGGCGCTTTTTAGCATCAGGTGCTTCAATAACCTAGATTTTGATTGTGGAAATAGGTTATCCCCTGGCATAGGAGTCACCCAGTCTTGTATAAAGATGCCCTGCTCTCCCTGAACCTAATCAGATAATCATTTCAGTCCAAGAAGTTATGATAGTCACAAAAGATTCTAACAGAGATGAGTTACAGAAAACCAAGAGTAAAGAGAGGAAATGAAAATGAAAATTGAGAAGACAGAAGATGTAAAAAAGGAGAGGAAAAAGGCAGAAAAAAGTAAAAACTACACTTCGTCCATCATCTGCCTATCAGCTGATACTGGAAAACAGTTTCTTTTCCAAATCCTGAAACAGATCCTCCTTTTTCTCAAGTCACTTTCTCACTTGGTGCACATACTTGTTGCGGATGACATATTTTGGGATTCAAAATGGAGCACAAAACTTAAATGTGTTAAGTTTTCACTTCTGCAAGGTGAGAATCCACAGAGAAGCTGGGACCTTAGCATGTTGTGTCTCTTTGGATTCGGGCCTAAAGGCTAGTGATATGGGATTTGATTTACATTGCATCCTACAATAGAACCCAAATCAACATAATAGAGTTCTCATTAGATTATGTTTGTGCAAATGAAAAAGCTAAAGCCTTCTGTTCTTACCTCTACCATCAGATAGATGGTTGTACCAGAGGAGTGCCATCCCAGGAGTAGGTTTTATTCTCAGGTTTCCTCTGCCACATGTCTCCTGGGTGTCAGTCAAATCAGCTCCATCCTGGACCAGTGCCTAGGGCACATAAAACTGTAAACAGCTCGTGTCTAATCATTTGTTTTGGCACACTGTGTTGACTCAGGTGTCAGATTCTTTGTCAGGGGTCAGCATCATCTGCGTCTTATCAGCAGTATTCAGGTCATGCACACTTGTCATCATTTCACAGCGGCAAAAAGAAAAGGAGGTTCATGATTGTGGGTTGTGAAAGCACACTCACCTGCTCTTCATAGGTACGATTGTCTGCCACAGGAAAGGTGGTCTCACCACCTTCCTCTGCAGAGCTGAGGTAGAACGACACAGTAAGATACCTGAGATAAAACAAGAGAAAGCGACAAATAAATTAAGAAATTTCACCTAATACTGATCAGAAAACAAATCACTGTAAGAGGTGTTTTGATAAACCACAGGAATTATCCAACAATTACACCAAAATCTGAGTAAATCTACAAATTAATAAAGAAAAATACATGTCTACATACTGTATTATTAACATGTATAGTCATTCAAGGTGATGAAATGAAAGATTTAACTAGAAAACCTGCAAAGCAACTGAATATAAACAAAATATAAAATACCGTACATGTCATAGATACCTGCAAGAGACCTCTGTAAGAGCAGATGTGTTTCCTGCCAGTCGTGTGTGTGCACAGATAGTCTCTGACTGAGAAGGGCTGCTGTCATGGTGGGCATTACTGAAGTCTCCGTGCTCATAGCGAATCACCTGCAGCGGCTCACTCAGTTGAACCAATGCAGAGGGCAGACGTGTCAGACTGATTACTCTGAATAAAAGAAATATGGAGGTAAATTAGTATATTATCAAATATAAATGTATTGGCTAAGAGTATTTCAAAGTGTGTGCATGTGTGGTTACCTGTTCCTGAGGGTTTGCAGCACATGGTGAGATCCCAGGCCTTGGAAAAGCCATGTGTGTTTGCTTCTCTGTCTGAATTGACTCCAGAGCTTCCCACTTCGCTGTTGTCCTGGGCGTTGGGACACATCATAAACACGTCTAAAGTCCTCCAAGTTCAGCATCTCTGCCAAGCACATACACATTAAAAAAAAATTCTTTATAGGACTATTTCTTTCTTTCATATGGCTCAACACACAAAAGTACAGTTACAATACCACCTAACTACAGATATAAATGGAGCCCTGTGAAATTATTATACTTTTCACAATTCTGACTCAATTTAATTTAATCTTGAATTCTGGCAGTGACAATGCAGTGACCAGTAGGTTATGACAGCTCCCTTCTCTCTTTTCCTCCATTCCTTCCCTCTTTGTCCAACCGTATGCTGTTACTCTCAGCTGAATGAATGTCTGGCCCCCATCACTTCCCCTGGGAGACCGCGCCCCAGCCGTAACAATAGCTCTGGGGTGCCAGAGAAGAGGTGACCGGGGAGGGGGTGGGGGGTGGTGGTGGTGGTGGTGGGGGTGTTGGTGGGGTGGGTTAACGAAAGAGTGTGGAAGTGGGAGTTGGAGGGATACAGGAGATCCGGGGGAAAATTAAGAAAAGGGGTTGGAGAATAATCAGTTTTTAATGAGATAGGATGAGGGACATCCGGACTGGGATGTGTACAACGCCTGGCACAATGGCATCAGGTCAAAACGGTGTCACCCCTCTTCCGGCCTTGCCACTCACAAAGACTTGCACGCAATCAGAACCACCGGTCAGCCACTTACTGTGCTCTTACAAGTACACAACTACTGCAGACACACTCATACATATAACAGCAAGTGATTAATCCAGTCGATTTATTATTTACACATTTAAATCTGACATACTCATCTTGAATCACTGAGTTAGCTAATTGTAAGGAACAATGAAACTGAAAGTCTCTAAAGTTATCTTTTGCAAGCACAGAAATCAGATGAGGAAAAACTTCAAATAGCTGTTAAAATTAATAGTAGCATTGGTGTATGCATTTGGACCAAAACTTCCTGCATTTCCGGATATGTGTCTCAGCTTAATCAGAATTCAGAAAATGTCCTTTTAATTGAGAAAGTTACATTTAAAATCATGGTTAAAAGCTAAATTCATTAACCTATTCCATTACAAGTTGAAGTCAGTTTCTACTAGTGTCTCACAAATTTATTGCAAACTTTTACTTTATGTGCTCCAGATGGGAACTTAACTGATGCTCTTTTCTAAATGAAATCATTCAGAAGAGCCTGAAATGTACTGACACACACAAACCACATGAGCACAAACCTGTTGGGCGAGCTTCCAGACCAGTGAGTATCTGCCGTAAGTTATCTGGGCTCAACCAAGTTCCATCTCGAGAACGTGAGTGACTCACAATCTGGAGGAGAGACCAAAATGTACTTTCTCATATCAATGAAAGAACTTAACATGTTCTGACAGTTCAATTTCTAATTACTTGGAACTGATTTTCCTGGAAATCTATTTTCCTAATCTCCTACAGCTGCATGGCATATGGATACAAGATGTTTCTATCTTTTCACCTCCTGCTTCTGCAGCAGCCCGTCCTGGTTTAGGTCCAAAAGACTGAAGACCTCCTCTGTGCTGAGAGAAAGTAGAGGCTGGTTTGACTCTTCTTGTCCCTGGCTGGGTGCTGGTGCCTGGCTCTCCATCAGACCCTTGAGCTGAGCCAGCTGCACCACCACACGGCACTCCTCCTCTGACAGGAAGCCAGGGATCTCTGACAGGAACAGGAAAAAATGGCAAATGTTAGGACACAGTTTTGCCTTGGACATACATGATTAGATGATTCCAATAACTTTAAAAGATCCCAATTTGAAAAAAAGATTTATTTCACATACCCACCCTTATCATGTGATGCACAAAATTAGTTTTTCCATTGCAATTTATGTGGAGTCTGTGGAGTCTACATTTTCCCAGGAGAGACTGAAAAGAGTATCAGTCAACTTATTTTAATCTCTGATAAAATCACGAATGAACTGCCAAACTAAGTGACTTTTCCAAATGCACAATTATGGAAATGAAAGTCCATATTATCATAATACTCGCCAACCCCCAGTCTCCCCACGATTAGAGTGAGGATCAAGGGTATATACAATCTATCAAAGAGATTGTCTTGGAGATTAGGCAAGGCTAATCAAAAACATGCAAAGTGTGGCTGAGATTCTGGGTTTGTTCATAAATTAACTGTTGTGCATAATAACACATTCACAAGATTACACATGATGATTAGGTAATGGTGATGCCTCTACTTGATAAAAAGCAAATAATTTGAAACTTCTTTTCAAGAAACTGGTGTCTTATGGACACCATTAACAGAGTTACTAATCTCTGTCACATTTATTTAAATCATTTCTCAAGTTTCTCAAGTCTTCTCACAACCTCACAACCACACACACAATCACACACACAACCACACACAACCACACACAACCACACACACACACACACACACACACACACACACACACAACAGTGTAATGGAACTCTATTACACCTGAAATGGTGAGTGAGTGATCGACCTTTAAGTGGATTAAAAGATGTCTGTTAACAGTGCTGGTTTGATCTGTCAGGCTACTAAATGGATTACTTTAGATTGCCTAACAAAACCTTTCAGAGTCAAGGGGCAAATTTAAGATACTTTGATCAGTGTCTGCAAACAATCATATGATTAGGCCCTAAAAGGCAAGATGTGTCCCAATAAAAGTCTTCGTACAGTGAATAAGTAAAATAGGTTTTTATTGAACATGGACACAAACTGAGCAACTTTTTAGCACCTCATATTCCTGAAAAAAAAATCATAGGGACATAACTGGTTGTTAAATATTAACCTCTCTTTCTTGCATGTTTTAGTAGGTGTTTAAGCACAGGAACTCTGGTAACAATATACTACATAGACTGTGCATTAATTGAGTACAAGCTATTCCCCTCCGTCACTCCCCAGTGAGTCATTTGTGGTATAGCCTATCCTACAAGGAGGTTTAATGAGTGACGATGTTGGACTTCTCCCAGAGGAAGGTAGAAGCAGTGCAGGCTTGTGGGACTCAGTAATTGCTGATATCAATTACTGCAAAGTAGTTACAGAATCAGAATTTGGCGTGCTTTTTTTACACCTACGTATTAGTAGACAAATATACCACTTACCAGTAAAATAGTCAGTTTCTTATTTCTACTTTGGTCTCCCAAGTTTGAGATCTGTCCCTTTAATATTTCTTTTGGTTGAAAATTTGTTTTATGTATTCTATCAGATAGATTCATTGATTTATTAAGACGCTAAGTGTGAAGGCCATAGTGTTTCATGGTTCCCTCACAGCAATCCATCCATGTCTGTCAGTCATTACCCCTCTTAATAAAAGGCTTCCGGCAGGTTGCCTGCCTGTACAGTAGAGGCCTTGTTTGTCACCCGTGTCTTTTACACTGTACCCACTTGGTTAATCCCTATTGTCCAGTCTAGCCTCATTAATCTGGATAACTGATATGAATGAAGGGGGACTGAGCCTCTCTCTCTTCTCCCTCCCACCACTGTCTCTCTTTCTCCCCCGGAAAGGAAGTGACCTGCTTGTCTGAACAGGAATCAGGCCATGGCTACACAGCAGGACAACACCAATTTTATTTGTGTTGTAAGCACAAGTCCACACACATACAATTGAGCATACAGTGTGTGCTTCGATTTATGTGAGCGTCGGCACGCAGGTCTCACATGTTCTGTCACTTTGAGAGACTATCTGTATGTTGATTATCTTATCTTCAGTGGATATAGTTCTGCAATGACCTCACCCTGGGAGTAGCTTAATTGTCTCCTTAATATTATGAGCATCTTCAGTCTGTCATGAGCAGTGAATATTCATAAAAAGTCCAATTTTTCCCTCTTTAGCAGCAGGGGTGGATGAGAAAAGAAGTGCAAAAAGCAAAGAGGTCAGGGCGGGACAGGGTAGTTAAGTGTGGGTTGGAAGAAAATGTGGGATGAAAGGGGTGGAGGAGTTTCACCACATGAGGGCCAGTCTCTTCCTCAGTTCAAGCTGTGGGGATGGAAATGGCAGAAATCCAAAAGTATCCAAATGCCAAATCATCCACATTACTAATCTTAAGCTCTGTCAAAAACACTTAAATCTGCTCATGAATGAAAGTGGATCCGCATCTCTTAATAACGTTTTAATGTGTGCCCCACCCCTTCTCTCTGCTGTTCTCTACACCTCCCCTTATCCCCTTCGTATGCAAATGTCATCACTGCCCACTATAAATACACCTATTCTGCCATCCTCTCCTGCACTGTCACACAAGGGTCTTTTTCACTCAAGAGACACACAACAGGATTTCGCCTTTTCAACTTCAGTCCCAGGATGACTTCAGTGCTTTGTCCTCATTTTAGCTCCAGAAAGTCCTCCCATTTAGCCTCTTTACTATTTCTCCTTCTGCTTGCTGGGCCAAGCAGCACAGTAGTACTTGGTCCTAGTGCTGGTGGAGTAAAGGCAGGGCTGGAGGGACGAGCAAGAGCTGAGGGTAGGATTAGATCTGGGGTGAAGGACAAGAGCTGGGACAGGGCAAGTACTGAGGGCAATACTGAAACTGGATATGGAAATACTCGTGTTTCTAGACCAGGAGCTGCAGCAGGAGAGGACGATGATGTGTGGGGGGACCCTGGTACTACTACAGGCTTCAGGTCCATGCTTTCTATAGGAGAAGGTGGACTGTGGGAGCCCCGCAGCTCCTCTCGATGTGTGCGCATCCCGTCCGGCATGGCCTTGTGCCAAAACATCGGTTATGACACGATGAGGATGCCCAACCTGCTGGGCCATGAGTCTCCGGCTGAGGCTGTACAACAGAGTGCCAGCTGGTTGCCACTACTTGCCAGAGAGTGCCACCCTGATGCCCGCATCTTTCTCTGCTCTCTCTTTGCACCCATCTGCCTTGACAGGTAAGTTTTACTTATGTAGTTTACTCACTGTATTAACTCATAACAGCTTATTTTCTGATAACATATATTGAGAACCTTTTCAAGTCACAATTTCACCCTGGTAGGAATTGCAATTTTCAGAGGAAAGCGTTTCACAAATTTTCATTTCGAAATGTCAGCTTAATTACATAGTTACACAGCAGCAGGGTCGTCAAGGGTTAACACCCTTTTGAAAGCTATGTAAATTGTCGCTAGTCTCTGAGGAAAGGTCTTGGTTTCACACTGAAATCAAGCCATTTAAGTACTATTATCTCCTTTTAGTCACATTAGCACTTCTCAGTCGAGAAAAAGAAAAAAAAGCAACAAAATGGCATCTAATCAAGTGTTGTTTGTTCCCTGCCACTTAACTATCGATTCAAATCCTTTCATCTCAGTGCTGCCCATGTTTCCTCTCTATCTCTTCTTTATTAGGTTTATATCACCTTGCAGGAGTTTGTGCGAATCTGTACGGGACAGCTGTGCTCCAATCATGAGTTGCTATGGCTACCCGTGGCCAGAAATTCTGCGCTGTGACCAGTATCCTGCAGACCATCTCATGTGTATCTCCTCCATCACCAACACCAGTGTTCACACAGGGGGGCGTAGAGGTAAGGAATTGACTAGATGGACACATATAATTGAGCTGACTTAATTTAACAACTGATTTAATTAGTGGTTTGACTATTTCAGTGCCTCTGGCGAGCTGTCGGGACTGTGAGCTGGAAGAGGCTTCCTCTACTAAAGATACACTGGAGACCTTTTGTAGGAGTGATTTTGGTGAGTGTCAGTATTCTTCCACCTCTTTGCCCCTGTCTGGTCCTATCATTGATTATATATTTTATAAGTTTTTCATTAATTCTGTACAATAAATAATAAACAAGAGGACACTGCTCCATAAATAGGTGATGTCAATCATGCTTTGTGTTTATCTGCTTGCTTCCCAGTTGTGAAACTGCGTCTTACACAGCTCAAGTATACTCCGGTAAGCCTGTCGCAGTTCTCGTTGGCTGCCAAACTGGATGTTCTGAAGCATGGACCCCTGTTAGGTGGGCAGATCCGCTCCCACATCGAGCTGTGGCTAGAGAGGGATGCCACCTGTGTACGGAACATGACACGGAACCACCCACGAGGCGGCACCTTCCTCGTGACAGGAACAGTGCAGGGGGGGCGCGTGGTGGTCAATAAGGCTTATGCCTGGCAAAGACGGGACAAGAACCTGATGGCAGCTGCGCGCAAATGGAAGCATCACAGATGCAGGAGCTAAGATAATGTTGAATGTGTAACAAGCATTAAACAACTATGATTAGGGGAAGCTTAGGGATAGCATACAGAATTTAACCATAAGCGACAAACTGTCAATAATGCTTTTTCTAGTCTTTACAAATCATGTTCAAACTTCTGTGATTATGGAAGAGATAATATGCAATACGCTGGTCACACAGGAGCTCATCAAGTATCAACACTGCCTCTCAGGCAGTGGAGGTAACAGAAGTATGTAAAGAAATAGCAAATGTACATATCTGTGAATTTTAAGTAAATATTGCTGGTCTATATTTGTATGACTTTGAGAGTAATTAAACTTTGTGCTCTACAGTAAATCCTGAAAATTCATAAATAGCGGATCACACCAAAAGACTACACTGTACTTACCAAATAGCAGAGGTTTCAAGCTTAGTGTCTTCATCTCATGTGTTCGCTCTGGCACAAGGGACACCTGCTGAACATGTCCCACCTGCACACAAGAGACATTATCTACACACTCACTACATGGGGGTTCAGATGTAGGAACACTGCTATAGCAGCTCTAAGTGACATTAAATTCTTTAGGTTGGGGCCTCTGCATCGGGAATAAAACTGTAGTTAAGCAGCAGAAAAATTTGATTAATGGATTTATAGCATATAGTGGAGGTGGTTGTGAGCAATAAATCCAGATACACTGAATGAGAATTTTAATTTTTCTATACTAGTACATTTATAGTATTTTATAAGCTTGATTAACGTTACTTGTTTGTTTAATATCAATAACCATACTTTTAGTTGGGTAACACATTGCACTGTAGGACTCTTCCCATCAGTGAGTTAAAATGGCACTCTTCATCTTACTGAAATGATGAGTTTTCTTACCCGTATCCCCTCAATGCGAGGGAGACTGAAACTTTGACTGTAGTCCTCCACATGTAGCTCTCTTGAAGCTGGGGCAGGATGGGGCAAAGGGCTCCCACCCTCGCTGACCAATGCTGATGAGGAGGCCCCGTCGCTACTGACAAGGTCCCCGGGTCCGTTGTTGTAGTGCACGTAGAGCAACAGGGCGATAACATTCAGGATGTACACATGGAAGAAGACCATGACCACAACGAAGTAAGCCCGAGAGCAGACATTACTTCTCTGGATGTGTAGTCGAGTGGAGCGAAAAGGGGAATTGTAGGGCGATGACGATGGTTTGTCGCTTCCATCGGACTCTTCCTGCTCCATAAAATGTTCTTGAGCGGCTTCCATTTTCGCACCAAACGACAGCAAATCAACCGTGATGGAAACACGGAGATATGTATTCAGTGTGTAACGTTAATGTATATCACTTTACGTCTGCCTGATAACGTTAGCAAACCTAGCTAGTTACGAGGTAAAGCCCACTCCAAAACTCTGCCTGTTTCGATAAAAATCGACGATGTCGTCTTTGCTGCTTTTACCCAAAGACACAGGGCAACTCCGAGAGAAAAAGCAGGTATGCCGCCAGTCGTTTTCTTTGATAAATAAATGTACCATCATTAACTAAGTCCCTTAATCCCTTGCAAGCTAACTAGGCTGGTGCGCTGCCCCTGACAACCTGCCTAACAACAAGAAGGACAAGCTAACGACTGCAGAGGGCTCGGTGTTTCGGGTCCAACAAACCGTTAGCGGCCTCTAACGGTCAACGCCAAAGAGAAGCTGGTCTGGACGACTGACATGACTTTTATCATACGAGAAGTGGAAGAAGTAGGTCACTCATGTACTGTTCTTTAACGAAGCTACCAATCCTGCATTAACATGTAGTTTAGTTAAAGTACGTAAGTATAAGCTAAGCTAGCGACTGTTCTGACGTGGTTAACTACATTATGTGGCTATATTAGATTTAACACTGGTGCATTAATAAGCAAGCATTATCTTGCTTTTGTTGGTCGTCGGCGGAGCTAGTTTTAAGTTGCTACTTACCGTACACACAGTTGGTAGTTTATTAGGTACGCCTAGCTAAAGCTAATGCAGTCCTGCAATATACCTTCATGAAGGTTAAAATGTATAATAAAGGTTTGGGTTTAAATTGTTTTAGAGAGATGCTGATTGAACTTGGTCAATCGTACTGTAATTTTGGAGCATGTAGTTTGTTTGGTGCCCTTGAATTGTATAATAAGGTGTTTCTATTATTTTTTCCACCTCAATTATATCAGTGAGGGTAGGCTGAATATAAACCCCTCTCTGTATAATACAATACAGCTCAACAGCACCACAAACTAGGCTACATCCTCCAAAATGATCATACAGTTCAATCAACACCTCTCTAAAACATTAAAAAGTGGGATTTATTGTAATACTGTTGTATTAGATTGCATCAGTACATTGTTTTTTTTTGTACAGGGTCATATGCTTAAAAGGAACCATAGTTATCTAACAAATGTAGTGGGGTAAAAAATATATTTCTCTCTGAAATATAGCGGAATAGAATATGAAGATGTAAATAAAGAAATTCATATACTCTAAGTATACTATAAGTAAAGTTACAAGTATTACAAGTAATTTGTACAGCATTTGAGTAAATAGTTACTTTCCAGCACTGCCTAACATACAGAAGGGTAACCAATTTTCATTTGATTTTTGAAATACCACAGGTCATATATTCCAGTCTTACTAGTGCCATCTCAAACTCCACATAATTTTTTGACTAGTCACCAAAACATTTTTGTGATTAATGTTTTTTTTCATTATTTTGTCATTATATTATCTCACTTTATTGTTTAGAGTAAAGGCATCTTCCTCATTTTGTGGGAACACAGCAATGTTGTGTGTGTGTGTCTGGGTAGTCCCCTAGATTCAATATATCGTGACTCAAAGTGAAGCTAAAAGAAAGAACGGAGAACAAGAGCTATGTGTGCATAAGTATGTATGTACCTAGATGCAGTGTTTTCACTTGTGTTGCCATCCACATGTTGACCAATTCTATGAACACAGTGACCAAAGTTGGGTAATTGCAAATGCATATATCAACACTAGACAGCTTAAAGATGATGTGCACCAAAGACCTTTGTCCTATCTTTATGTTAACATACTTTACTAACCTTTTTTTCGGAGCTTTGACACAGCCATTCTCTTCTCATGATGCAACCAGGAAGTTAACAGCTTTGGTCATGTGGTCATTTATACTAAACATGTGAGACTGCACATATTTCATCAAGACCCTTTATTATTTCAATATTTATTATTGAAATGTATTGATAGAACATTGAGTAACATTTTTAGAGCGTTATAACTGAAAACTATTCACTCACTATTGTCACGGGAAATTACAAGATACAGAGGTTAAAATTAATGGTCAAAACTGAAACATCAAAGGCTTAGATATCATGATTTTAGATTCTAAGCCTACATTACATGGTCAGAAAACTCACTGAAATCATCAAAAATCAGTGCCCCTTTAATCTGTTAATTATATATTATCCTCTTTAGATATTTAACCCCCCCCTCCCAAATTTTCAAACAGAATACTTTGTTTTGAGCCCATTGTTCGAGAGGTTTAAGACTTTTTGTGAACATAGTCCGCAGCCAAATCGTAAGTCCACATGAGGGACATTACAAACTTGATGAACTGTGGCATTGATGGTTGTTGAAACAATTTCATGAACCAGTTCAGTCACCAAGAAGTTTAGCAAACAGCACCTTTCTGATAGTCTCAACAACTGAACATAGGCGTTCAAGTTTCAAAAAAACATTTGTTGATTTTTAGATTGCACATGAATGTACATGTTTTCTTTTGTTCTGGTCTCCATCTATAGCTCCAAATACAGGGTCTAGCTAAAAGTAGCCCTATAACATGTTCTCCGGTGACAACACATTCTTGGCTTTAGAATTAAAACATTCTGCTGTTGTTTAAATGAACCACAGGGTGGCGATGAAGACCAGCAGGCAGACGTCATCAGCTGTGTTTGCTGTGTCATCTGTGATTCCCGACGTAATTGTTGGGGATTCAGGTGATCCCCTGGAAAAAAAGTAATAATTCAATATTATTCGTTTTTATTTTATTAAAAAAACCAAAACATTTAACAGATGTTAAGTGAAAATCTTGGCATTATTTCCCCAGAGTAGTCATCCAGGTAGTAGCCATTTTATAGCAAAAGGAGAATATGCTTGTTACTGCACGTATCTGGGCTGTTGGGGGCTGTAATTAAATGTAATCCAATTTAGCCAAGTCATCCTGTGTTTTACACGACCAGGCCACTACAATCTGACTGATGTGTGCAGCACTATGTATTTAAACCTCTCCACTTTGGGAACTCAGGAAATTTTATTTATCTTTAGACTATATTTTCAGTCATGCTGATGCCAACTAAACAGTGATGGATCCTACTGTCCAATTTCCATATTTTTCAGTCCATGCATTATTCACCAGAAATTTTCTCTGAGGTGCATATTTAGATGGGAATGGAGCTTGGATAATGAAGGCTAATTTCCCCGGTGACAGTGCCCCCCAAATTAATCTATTTGACCCCCTTTTTTACATAGAGAGAGAGAGTTGGAGGTGGGGGTGGAGGTTAGAGAGTCTGATACACACACACACACACACATATACACACACCCCTTGCGGTGTTTTCCGGGATCACGCCACTGCTTCCACTTGGGATCCACACAGCAGCAGCGATATGGCTGATCATCACCGGACGGGACGGTGCCGATTATAAGCGAAAGTAAAGACAAATAATGCACTATTATAGGCCAACTATGCAGTCATCAAGGCGCGGGGACATTGCGACACACCGTAAAACACAGGGATAAGAGTTATCCGACTGGGTATAGGCAAATCTGGTGTGTTTTACAGCAAAGTAGTTGGAGGAACTTGTCGCAGTGGATTCATCCCAGCGTGCTGCCAGGATTACCATACACAAGTGGAACAATAGTCTCCTGCAGCAGAAGCACTAGCAGGTCAGTGGCAGCGGTGTTTTTGTTTGTTTATGTTGAGCCCGTCTTCACCCCATGTTTTGATCCTGTAGCTAATGTCAATGCTGGGACAACAAGCCACGATAACCATGTTTGTCCTATCACCTGACATTGCAGGTGGAATTAATTTTTGACTCGTTAAAACGAAGGTATTTGGTGGTTTTGACTGGGTTAATATTGCGTTTGTGTGCGTCTATGTTTAAGTTAATGTGGCCACCTCAACAATCCGGATCACAGTGGGGATATCTAACTGACACCGTAGCAGATAAAAAGGGTAAATAACGATAAGGGCACCTTATACCGACTCAATTGTAGCAACGTGCTTTAAATCTAACAGGATTCAAATATACCAGATGATATGAATACGAATTTAAAACGTATAAGTAGTCTCCGAGTTTATCCAAATCCTATTTCCATAGAGTTTCAGAGCCGGCCGGATGGCTGTGCAACTTTTTCTTAGCCCTGACTGACTCTCCTCCTCCCGGATACTTCCGTCAGGAAAACACGGGGAGAGAAGAACTGACCGAAAACGTAAAAGGCCTGTAAGGTTGAGGAATCTCTCTCTCAGTCAGGCCGGACACGAACCGCAGCGTATTTAGTTTGAGTCCCGTGATATTTATCGTCCGGCTGCTTGCTGCTCACTTATGTGCGCCCAGGCTGCAGTCATGTCGAGTTACATGGGATATTGTCAGGACTCTCGCTCGTCCGCAAATGTGACAGTCCAGTCCTGCGGTCCTGCAGTGTTGTCGATAACCTCGTGGATGTTTCCCGAAGGCAAGCCATGTATTAACACCATTGCCTATAGGCTGAACAATTAATGCTAAAGCAAAAGCATGTCTCTGAACAGTTAGTTTCTTAGCAGTGTGTTGGGGGTATCATTTAACACTAAATTATTTAAGTCCATCTCAACGTGGGATGTCCAGATTGAGCATCATGCGCATCCGTCAATGCCTTTGCCCTTGTGTTGCACCCCAATCGAAACACCTAAATGACAATCCCAGACCAGAAGCCTGATAGTCCTGTGTTATTACAGTATACATTTTAAACCATATCTGTTTTATTTTAATAATGACAACATTATTACAGTTTTGATAAGGACCTCGTTATACATTTTACAGTATTTGCAAACATCACACAGAATTCTATGACCTTTTTTCCGGGTGCTTTTTTTTTTACCGATTGGGATTTCCTTCATGGTCTTAACTTTAGCACAGTCTAATGTCCTGAAACCAGTTACTGTGCAGTTACATAGGATGCACCTGCATATGTGTCCTCTGGTTTGAATGTCACCCAGTTATAGCTACACTATTCTGTGGTCAAAAAGTTTATTAACCAGGAAAGGGTCTCACTGAGATCCAAATCTTCCAGCCACTAATTATAATCATGCATAATGATTACTCAGTTATCGCGCATTATAATGTACCAACTTTGGGTGGAATCATATGATGATTATATAATGTCTTTGTAAAGTTTGTTTATCCAAAACAAATTGTATACAAAATAGAGCTGTCACTAGATCAGATTTTAACCACTAGTTATCGCGGCCAAAAGAATTCAGAAAACAATATTATGGCGATATCTATGAAAGAAAAACACGCTATCACTCATACTAATCTTTAACTTGTGAGTTTTTTCTCTTTTTTGGCGAATGAATTAGACTGAAATACTTGTACAAAAGTGTATGAAAAGAGCATTTAAAATGGATAATGAAAAGGCAACCAGATTAAAACACAATGCCTAACATCTGCCATCAGGAGATAGGTATATACATCAATACCAGTGCATCGTGACGCCCCTAAATATGGATGAAAAGTTTTGTTTGATGGAATATAGTAACAGAACAGTAGAGCAGTAAAACACAGGCCATTATTGAACTAAAATCTTTTTATATGCAATTTTTTCATACATTTCCCATACCTGTAGTGGTAAAACGTCCATTTTAATATTGTGATATTGATTTCAGCCACATTATTCAGCCCGAAGTGAAGTTATAGGAATATTCCTGCCCTTTGTGTGACCTCTTTGAGCCAGATCTCTGCAAAATCGTAGCAGCAGACACTATTCTTATTATTCATTCATCTTCTTTCCATAATTTGCTCTTCTCATTGTACTGTGGAGATTTACGTTAAGTGACAGAAGAGATACTGAGGAGGAGCCATTGGTTATCTGTTGGTTTAAATGTGTGCGTTTGTGTGGATATGTGTAGGATTCTGTAGTTGGGCAGATTTGTGCATTACTCATGCATCCTCAGGCTGCTGTGCCAAGCAGTGTTCGGAGTGCCACTGAGTGCCCGTTCCACTCTGCCACATTGTATGTGTGTGCATGCATGCGTATGATTCATGTTCCGCTGAATTACAGAAGAATGCTTGTTTGTTTTTGATGAAAAGGGGAGAAAGAGAGGTAGAGGAGGTAAGACAATATCTGGCTGAAACAAAATAATCCCCACAGTAGTGTGTTAAACATGCAGCTAGCTAATGTTGGTGTATGGCATGTGGATACTGTAGACTCCTGTAGGTCCTCAGGTCCATTCATTCTTTTGCCCCAAGAGGCATAACTGGCAGAGGGATCCCAGAGCCAGGCTCGAAAGAATTGCATGCTGCAATGTTGTGTGACATTCCAAGCACTGGAGGGCTGGAAGGTGTTTTTTTTACGTGTGTGTGTGTGTGTGTGTGTTAGTTGGTGTGTGCTGTGTGTGTGTGTTGTTGTGTTCCTTTGTGTGCATGGGGGGGGGGGTGTATAGAGGGGGGAGATAGAGAGATGAGAATTGTGAATTCTCAGCTTTTCGCCTCTCTCGGTTTCCTTTCTTCGTCTCTTCACCTCAGAGACAGAAACTGCGGTTTCAGCCTGGGCCTGTAACCTAGCAACCCAAATGGTGTGTGTCTTGAATAAATCAGACTGTGTTCCTCCTCTGTCCTCCTCAGGGGTGTGTCAGTTCACCTCACCTCTGTGCTACCACATCCATGCAACCACCCACACACATATGTGGAAACAGACAGCTCACAGACACGCAACAATAACTTAGTACAAAGTTGGAGAGGATCTTATTTCTTGTATCACCTTTCTATTAACCTTGTGAACTCCTCAACAGTGCACTGTACTGGTTTCAAACAGAACTAAAACTTGTAAAGCTTGTAGTGGCTACGTAGGAGTGAGAGCGGCCTCCGTCATCTGGAGTGTCCCTCCATTTAGTGGGAGTTATGTATCAGAGCTGTTTGTGGTTTGCTGGGTGTCTGGTGAGTGTGGCCTGCACATGCTGCAGCCTGGAGCCGCATGTCTCGTCCCACTCACTGATGTGCCTCTGCCAACCTCTTCACATTGCCACGTCCATCTGCACCAGGCAGGACTCAACATCCAACGCACATTCATCATACTTTTTTTTTTTTTTACACTTTTTTTTTCTTTAGTTGACCAATACATATACAGTTCTAAAACACCCTGGAAATGTCTTACTTGATGCTTAAGTCTTGTACTAAATGTGACCTAGTTTAGTTTATTTGCACAAAGCTAAAGTTGAAGCAGGATAGCAAAGATTTAAACATAAGAAAAAGTTAATATTGCCTCACAACTTATATAGAATGTAATTAAAAGCAACTTTAATGGAGTTATAAGGCAAAAATGTTTGCGTTTTTCTGGCATTTCATGAGCAATTTTTAAAAAGAAAATGAAAAAGGTTTATGATTCAAATAGAATTTTATTAGTTTTATTTTTTCTATAAAATATATGTTCTTATTTTGTGTAGCTGTTTACAGGTAAGCCTACACCTTATTTCATCATAGTATAATTAAAGTTGGAGATCTTACCTACATACATAATATACAGTGGCACCCTGAAGTGTTTCCCTCTATGAGCTGCTGGGTAATGAGATTCCCACTGCATTATTGTTTGGGCTAATTCAACAGAGATAAGATGAAGACTGTGAAATTAATCTGTGTGTGTGTGTGTGCATGGATTGGGTGCAAGCGTAACTGTGTGTTAATGATAACACCGGTATGTATTTATCTGGGTAATAAGGAGTGCATTATATTATCAGCTATTCTCACTAATGTGAGTCATTTATTCCTGAAAATTCATGGATGACGGAGGCAAGGTTGCATGAGGAGAACCCAATCTACTTGTCGACACATGCTTCCTCTTCTCTACTGAAGTCTGGGAAAACATGCAAATGAGGGGGGAGGGAGATTCGTTCCATACTGATAATCCATGGGTGACGGATGATATGAAATGAATGTGAGATGCTCTCCTTTCACTCTTTTGTTCCCTTCTTTAACTTTTTTTTTCATCTTGGAGGAACGCCTCCGGCTGAGGTGCAAACCGCATCCAACTGGGCTCATGTAAATTGGCAGAGGCAATGTTGTTAGCAATGGCTACTCGCCTAAACGCATCTTCTAGTGAAATAAAGCCAGTCGTCCTGAATGAGGATCACTGGGTTTGAATTCCCTCAGAGCACTGGCTGTCTCTAATAGGCCTGAAAGACTGAGAGCCTGAAAGGATGAATGGCTTTTGTTGAAGCCTCCAAGGTTGGACACAAAGAGAAAGGCAGTGGGTGCCGTGTGTGTTTGTGTGTCAGTGTGTGTGTGTGCGCGCTAGTGCATGTCAGCTCCTGAGCCCTTATGGGTTAGATAGAAGGAGCAGGAAGTGGAAGGGAGACAGAAATATTCTGCCATAGCTGCCTCTACCTCCAGGCCGGTAAAGCAGAACACGACGCGCAAAGTGACTTCAACACACACTTATGCAAACACACGCACATACTGTACATACACACATAAAGCAGATTTTAAATGTCTGCTGAGGGGCACTCAACACAACAATATATAACTTTGAAAGCTTACTGACGTCAAGAGGTATGCACACCATTGAATATGAAGAGCACTTTGCTGGAAAAATAATATGTGCTTTTCCCCTCATTTCTGTTAAGGACGGGATGCTTCTCTCTCTTGTTACCACATATATAGCAGCGCTGTGTTTGGTTGTTGTCACTTGACCCTAGCTTCGGTTGGACTGTTGTAGAATCAATGTGTGTATAGATTATGAAGAACTTAATTCTTGTGTCATAATAATCTTGGCTGCCATTTTCGCATAAGAAATACTGTAGATGTATACAGTAGTTTGTTTATGTCATTATTGATAGCTGATTGAAGAGCCAATGAAATATGTGTCAATCACAGCTTATCTGCTCTTGTCTGAAACCTCTGGGGAGCTGCACAGTCAGCCATTTACATGTTTTTTTTGTACATTTTTTGTTTGTTTGTTGTTTTCTTTCTCTCTCTCTCTCTCTCTCTCTCTCTCTCCCTCTCTCTCTCTGTGTCTCTCTGGGCTTGTCTCTCTCTCATTTTGTGTCTTTTATTCTGCAATGTTTGCACTTGGGATACATAACAATGAGAACACACGCTGCGTGAGCAAACACAATCATCGGGAGCCCAAAGAACTGTAGAAAATGCGCAGAGGCTGCACTGCAGTAGTTTCACTGTACAATGAAGATTAACGTGGCAGTGTGGATCTATCTGTCAATGGTTATAATGAGAACAATGTCCATGATTATGATGATTGGGATGCAGGTGGTGCTGATGATGATGGTGATAATGATGATGTTGGTGGTTGTCCCCCTCTTCCTCAGCCTGTGGGCCCCTGTGGTGTGGCTGAGAAGATGGACAGGATGAAGATAATCAAGCGGAGGCTGTCCATGTCTCTACGCAGCGCTCGGCCCGTTGATGACTCCCTGTCCGAACTGGCAGAACAGATGGCCTTGGACGAGCCAACCGCAGCCAGAGACAATGGTGAGACACGTGAACTAGTGCACTGACACGCAGGTATACACAAGCACCTCAGCAGATGCTGTCACACAAGCATACAGTATGAAAGAGGGCGCTCATTTCAAACTTCACGGCTCACATGCACCATGTTCATTATATCTCCATCCGAATACAGTCACTCAGTTCATAACTGAAGAAACAGAAGTGAGCGGGGTAGGCAGGGATGCGTTGTCATTATGACGAAGAGTATTTGTATCACCTCCATAACCCTCTTGGGAGTCACACAGTGATTAGTTTGAGTCCAGCATCTGTCATGGCTAGTGTTTTACCACACAGGAGCTGGAAAACCACATTATTAAAGAGCAGTTTCTTATGTGCTCCAACAGTTCATGACCTCAAGTCTTCATTTGGAGCTTTTTAGCAACACGAGGAAGCATTAACTGATTTAGTGGTTTGCAAACGAGGGTGTACTTGTAGTCAAAATAGAGGTCGTAACCGATCATTGCAGGCGATGCATGAAACATTATGCAAAATTATGGCAGAGAATATTGCACTGTCCCCCGCACTTGGGTGTCTTCAGTTTATATTGAAATACTCCCTAAAATAATAGCAACATTTCATAGACAGTATGTGGCCATTTTTCAAAAATTTTTGTGTGTTAATATGTATTGTATGCATTGCTCTCATGAAGCAATATAGACATGGAAACCCACTCACATACCTGAGCTTTTCAGCTTACTGGAGCCAGCTTAACCATCATCATCTTCACCTCATCATCAGCTTTGTCACCATTGCTTCACTGTTCACTTTACTTCATTAGTTAATCTTCAAGGCTTACAGCAGTAGTATACTGGGAATGCATTTGAATTCACAAAGCTTTGTTTTGAATTCAGATACATTAATTTGTCTATTCACATGGGCAAAAGAGAGCAAGCAAAAAGCATTGTCATTCTTGAGTGCCATCTGGTGGCCATCTTCCAGGACTGCAGGTCCCATTCTTGAGAAATCAGAGATCTCACCTGACACAAACATTATGCGAGTGTGATCAGTCTTTGTGTGTGTTCACATCTTTATCTTGCTCTCAGGCAGAAACCGGGCCAGAACATAGACTGAGGGAGGTTGCCTGTGTCTCAGCAGACGCTTTTTGTCTCAGAGAAAAAGAAAAAGAAAAGACAGACAGAAAGTGAGAAAAAAAAAGTTTCACCATCCAAATATAGCTGTGCTGTGTTTTAGGCTAGAGGTGTCGGCTGTCTTGCAGTTTGGATGCAAGGAGTGTTGTTTGTTGTTGCTGTTATTCCAGCTACTGAGTTGCAACATCCACATCTTCACTTGATTAATTTCAATCCTTGCCATCTCTCTCCTCCTCCTCCTCCTCCTATTTTTACTTCCCTGTATTTCGTCTTTAATAGCTCAAGCGCAGTGGAGTACATTTTCAGAGGGCGCAGGGAGCAAGGAAGAGAGTGGGACTGGGATGGAGGAAGTGATGTAGAGGATGAGGAGAGATACATTAAACTTTAACTAGTGCTATACATCTTTTACTTGTCATTTCTCTTGCCCTTTTCTCTTGCTGTTTCACCCTCCCGACCCCCACGTCTCTATATATCTTAGACTCAGACTGTGCAAAAGAGTGGTAAAAACATCCCTCACATTTTTCAAAGTGCTAATTAGAAACGATGTTGAAGCTGGCGCTGCCCTCATATCTGTTCCTCCACTGTGTTCTTGGATGACTTGCTGGAGGTGAGAGACTGGAAGGGAATCATGTGAAAATTTTAGGGGCACATTAAGCCCTAATGCTTGGGGATCAGAGTGGAATTTTCACTACAATGTGTAGGAAATGAGGGATTATTTAAAAGATAGGAGATGTGACGTGTGGGCTGCCATCCACATTCTGCGAAAAGGATTCATTAATTCTAATGAGTATGAAAGAAAGGTGACGATGCATGCATACCAACAGGGTGTTCCACACATTTGCAAGGGATGTGGTTAAAGTATTTTGCTTTGAAAAAGCCATTTTGTTGTCCATAAGCTTAACTTTGACCCACTGACTTGAATTTAATTAGCTAAATATCTATTCTAGCCCTTCCATCTGTGATTTGGTTACTCCCTTATCTCTGTGGCCTGTTTCCTCTTGATCAGTCTATGACTCAACATATTTTCCACTATGCATGCCTCATGCCTTATACACTTTCCATGGGTATTGCTTTTACTCTGTGTCATGATTGGTCCCTCTTCTAACATGAGTACAGCAGCTGTATGTATTCCCACCCTTTTATCTATCACTACTACATATTGTACTGTTCCTACATGTTCTACTACCTTTCTGTGTCTGGTCTCTGTGTGACCTTGTGTCATCTCTTTTCCTTTTTCTATTTTTCTCCTGTTCCCTCCTACAATTCCTGTCATCTGCCTGTTTCTATTTTGCTGCTTCTGTTCCCTCTCCTCTGCTATTCTTCAACCTTCATCTTTCACTCTCTCACTCTCTCTTTCTTCCTTGCCCTGCTTTTTCTTGTTTTGACCTCTTTCTCCTCTCACTTATTTGTTAACCTGCTGTCCTTCTGAGCTTTCTCTTCTCTTTCTCGCTTTCTCTGGAACTTTCTTTTTTTTTTACCCCTTCGTCTTCTCCCACTCCCTGGCTGTCCGTCTCCATCATGTGTCTCAGAGCCCATGGTGGTGTGCGCCATGCACCCTCCCGCCTCCCATAGTGCTCCCTCCTTCCTGCGTCAATACGCTGGTCATCTGGGCCGCACCGCCCTGCGCAGAGAACCAGGTGGGGGGCTGGAAAGAGACAGAGCCTACCTGAGCCTGCACAGAACTGGATCTCTGGGTACACACACACACACATACATTTAAACAGTGATGTATGAATGCAACCGTGAGCACACAAAAACCATACACTACGTATTAAGTAAACTGGTTCAATTCCAAATGTCTGTATATTGAGTTTGGAAAATTAAACCAAAGCCTGGAGCACATTATGCCAGAATTCAGCCAGAAATATTTATGCCAGAAGTCGGTCAGGGAGTCATTATAAACAAACTAATGGTGGAAAATAACTAAGTCCATTTACTCAATTACTCTTCTTAATATTGAATGAATTTTGATTTGTTTGTACTGCACTTGAGTTCTTTGAGTCCATTTTCCCCCTCCTGCTTCTATACTTGAGGGAAATTTTGAATACAGGACTTTTTAATGGAATGTAGTATTTTTACTGTTTTACTTAACTAAAAATTATTTTTAAATTATTTCCACCACTGCCAAGTCACCACACACTGTCTCCAGTTTCATTCCCAGTCAAGTTTGCCTTTTGTCATTGTCCTTTGTTGTAACAACATTTACATATTTTGCAATTCTGCATATTTGCATATTTTCTTATTCTTTGTGTCAGTAGTTCAGTAAAGACAACTTTGCTGTATCTTTCTGTCCTTGCATGCATTAAGAATAACTTAGTATTCAGCTATGTCTACACACACACAAAAAAAAAAATATATATATATATATATTTTTTTTTTCTTCTTTTTTTACTAGAACACAATCCATTCTGAACACTACTGCCACCTGTGGGTGGAAAACTCACACACACACAAACACACACTCTCACACACACACACACACACACACACACACACACACAGCACAGTGTGTGTGTGTGTGTGTGTGTACGTATGTGGGTTTTCAGTGAGTGTAAAACCGTATCTACAAACACAACTTGGCTATTCTCCCAACATTTACTACGAATTTGGGAGGCTAAATCTCTAATGACCTTAATCCAACATACACAAACACACACATTCACATGTTCACATCACGATCACACAATCACTTTTTCCCTCTGTCTGTCTGCATTATGTAATGGAACGTGTGGTCCGTGGTTCTATGGATTCCAGTAATCTCATTTCCCACTGTGGCAGAATGGCTTATATCAGGAGCAGTGGGACAGAGTGAGGGAGTGAAAGCCAAGGATGGAGAAAAAGAGACCTGGATGCCGGATAGGTTTAGAATGATATGGAGCTTAGAAAACAGCAAGACATTTATTTATGGTGGACTGAGCAATAGAGAGGGAGAAATGAAAAGTACAGATGAAAGGAGGGAGTGACAGAGTTTTCCACAATGGGTCCTTCAAGAGTCATTAGCTTTGTACCCTGTATCCCCTGAGTCCCTGGCTGGAGATAGACCACAACGAGACTCCTTCCTTTCACTGAACTCTGGCTGACAAGAGAACTAGTCTTGTAACAGTAGCTCACAGGGAATATGATAAGACTGGATGATCCCTGTAAAGAAATAGTGACAGCAACATTAGGATGGGTATTGTTTTGAACACTTTCAGTACTACTGCTAATATGATATCCGTGTCCAATATCAAAACAATACATTTTTGATTCCTTACTTTGACAAGTATGAAAATGCTTTTCTACAAAAACCTTTTTTCCATTTAACAAAAGAAGCCAAAGTTTTCAAATGTTAGATGTTGTTGAAACACATAAAAAGAACTGCACAAGAACTTTGCTTAAATACAACTTAAATACAATAGTCTATCTGATCACAGAATAAAGAAATTATAGTACAAATGTACTCAGACACTTGATGGCTTTCAGTGGTTGCTACCAAAAAAGTATTGATGCTTTATCCAGCCCTGCAGCAGCAGCAACAGCAGTGCCAGTACAACAATAAAAGGATGCGGCAATTGCTAAAAGGGAAGGAGTTGATGTCGCACATTAAACATGACAAATGTTAGAACATAAGAACGTACCAAAGCCAAGATTAAGGACAAAATCTATATATATCATTGTGTTTGGGTTTGTTAATTACCATCACTAGATAGTTACATTTAAAATAGAGATAGAGAGCCTGACTGATACTGGATTTTACACAGTACTGTAATCAATAATCAGCGATCATATAATAATATTTTAAGTTAGAGTTAAGATAATCTAATAATGATTGGTCATATATATATATATATATATATATTTACATGAAGGCGTAAACAAACATTTTTCATAAGGATCGGTTACATTTGTTCATTC